CAATTTGCTTGTTTTTAAGTTGTACAATTCATACAATTCATAAAACACCTACATCATTCACATTACGTAATAAAGTCTTCTATTCATTTTTTAAACATATAAACTTTTTTTTAATTTTTTTAAAAAATTTTATCTATTTTAGTTTGACCCTAAATTTTTGGTTATATTAGAATTTCTAAATAATAATTAATTTAAAATTTGAATTAATTAATCTATATTGTTGGCATGGAAATTTGACAAGTTTGTCACTTGAACTAATTTTATACTGTATAACAATATATAATATACTAAAGTATTATAAAAAAAAAATTATTAAATTATCTTAATTGAAAATGAATATCTCATATACCTTATAATTTTCAATGATTATTATAGTATTAATCAGATAATTATTATACTATGATACCTTTTCTGAAAATTACAATTTTAATACTTGCTAAATTAATATATAAAATAACTTCTTATAAAAAACAGTACTTTTACAGATTATAGTACTAGATATTATACTAATTCTATTTAACTGTCCTTACATAAAATTAAATTAGTATCTTGTGATCTGACTTGTAAAGTATTAACCATTGTACTATAGTTTACAGGTCTTGATTTTATCCTGATATACTTCTTTAGTATCCTTGAGATTTTTATAATAAAGATAAAAATAGTATAAAAAAAGTTTGAATAGTAAAAAGCAAAAAAAATAAAAGTTATTTTTAATATAATTAATTATAAAAAAAACAAACAATAAAATATATTAACAAAAAAGAAATCAAAATACAATATAACAATTTAATATACATATAATAATAATAATAATAATAATAATAATAATAATAAAGAAAGGCAAAATTTTCATAATAAATATTATTATAAATTATTTAATTATTATATTTATCATGTTTTTAAATTTTTTATTAATCAAAAAAATATTTTTATATGTTTATGTTATATTATTAATTACTAAATTACGTAAAAACATCATACGATGCCAATTATCATATCAAATTTCGATAATAATAATAAAACCATTGTCTCAAAAACCGGGATTAATAATAAATAAACAGATGTAATCATATTAGTTAATTTTAGATAAGATTGAGAATAACTTAGATACAGTATTATGGAATTCAAGAAATGTTAACAGATATGAGCAAATAAATAAACACGACACATAGGAAATTTATTCGTTGTTACCCCAAAATGAAAATTTTTTAATTTAATATATTGTTAGTAATCAAATCCGAATCAATTAATTCTTGATTTGCGTATTAAGCTCACAATTTAATCAATATAAACTACCATATTTGATAATTCCAATTCGTGCAATTAACAACACAAGATTAATAGAAGAATTTATGCTACCTATTGTATTAACAATGAAAATTCATTTTACGCAATGTTTGCATTAATAATAAATAATGTGAATACGTTTATTTAAATCAGCAAGAGTGGCTGATTAAAGATAATTTAAGCATGATTGATATAAGTACGTTTTTTACAGGGATATTAGGGACATCGTTGTGTGACGTGATTATTGCGAGGTTTGCGTATGCCGTCGTGTTTAAACTAAGAATGTCGGGCATGGCGTAATCGTATCACGTCAATCTATCATTCCGGCACTGCTCATTTTGACATAGCCCCAAGTCAGATACCCCACCTCCAAAACCTAAATGACATCATTTGGTGCAGGACTTTATTACGTAATGTGAATGATGTAGGTGTTTTATGAATTGTATGAATTGTACAACTTAAAAACAAGCAAATTGTGGAATACATCAAAAAATATTTGTTTATACATCATAATACATAATATGAAATACAAATACGTCGCACGGTACGTGTTGAAATTTTACATTTATATCGAAGGGAACCGACCTTTCTTAAAAAATTTATCTAGCCTCTCTTCTCAGTGATTATAATAATTTATTTATATTTATTTATTTTTTGTAAACAAAAGCGTCATAATCCAAGGAGAATTTCTCGTATGATCACTTTTTCACGTCCTTAATCTCCTAGTCTTTCTCCTGACATCACCTAATTCAAAGGAAGGGTCTCAATTTTTTTCTCTGTTCTAATTCTCCCTGCTTATTAAGCAATCCGCACCGAACCTATATTAGGTATTATGCGAAGAGGTCATCTATCTTGTATCGTTAATTAAAAAAGTACAAATAACGAACCATTCGACCAAATATTTTTTCGGTCCTCTTCGACGATCTTCCTTTTAATTGAAGAGACTCTGGCTTTTTTGCTTAGTTACCACTTTGCTCATTCTTGCAAACTGTGAGATGTCATAATTGATAATACATAAATTCTCCGATAATTAATCATTGAAGAGTTAATGTATATATAATATAGAGTACTTAATTACAAGAAGAGGAAGTTTTTCGACTTTACCGTATATATTAAGAAGCATAATCGTTCATCTTCCATATTCAGACCAATAATCACTTTTTTGCTGTTATCAACAAAAAAAAAAAATTTTTTTTTTCGGTTCCATATAAATCACATCTCTCACCGAATCTCACTCTCTCCCAGATATATACATCTTTTTAATTCTCTCTTTACCTTAATACGCGCAAATCTTCTTCACCAAATATATTTGTGAGAAAGTGTCGCGCAGCCGTCCCTACGTCGCTTCCTTATCAAGTATAAATACTAGGTCTTATTATTCGTACTCGCACTTCGACCCTCTAACTACTAATCATTAACATACACTGTATATACATATTATATATTATATACACATACGTACATATAACCTCGCCGTTACCTTATAGCGTAGTGTACTAATATGAGTATCGTTTGTAACTCTCCGAAGTTCGAGTCGACTAACGATCAAGCCTCGTATTTCCACTTACCTGGTTCTTTTATGACCGCATCTAATACTGAAAAAGCTTCGCAAGGTTATTTCGACATTAACCCAAGATCCTCTCCTGCACAAACACCATATTTCGATGCACAAAGACCACACTCCCCTGTTCAAACTCCCTTTTTTGACTGTGAACCAATACAAACACCTTATTTTGAGAATTTGCAATTGCAGCACGGTCATGGCATTCAACCGAAGTTTCAATTGCAGATTAATGCTCATAACGTTAACGTTACTCCGAGTGGAGTCGGTAATCCTTCATCCATCATTAACTCGACTCCCGGATCTCAAGGCGGTGCTGCCGTCACTTCACCATGGGGACAAAACGGAATTTTCGATCCAAAAGTACTCGTGCAACGTCGGCAATCATTAAATCCGAAAGGCAGTTTTTCCAAAAAACCACATTCCATGCCGGCAGGATTATCTCCACTTACCCCTGTCACATCGTCATTTGAAGAATATTCTGTTGATAGCGTTGCCCTCTTGATCAAACAGCAACAATCACAACCCTTATCGGAACCTGCTTCTCGAAAAATTGTTTTGTTACTTGACTTGAGAACTTTTTCGATGTTCACATCAAGTCGAATTAAGACATCCTTAAACATTTGTGTACCAAATACCTTGTTAAAAAGAGGTTCCTTTTCAGTTGACAAGATCTCCGAAACATTAGTTAGCGATGATGATCGGAATATTTTCAAAGAATGGCCAAATTACGAAAATATTGTGTTATACGACAAAGATTCATCCTGCTTATCGGACAATGGTCCCATTTTTCACTTATGCAAGAAATTCAAATCCCCAGCATGCAAAGCAAAAGTCGGTTACCTAAAAGGTATGTTTGCTAATATGATATCATATTGATCGATTATAAATTTTAATCATCTTTTCAATTGGAACTTTCTTTTTTTCCAGGTGGTTATTCGGCTTTTTCTTTAAAGTACGATGAACTATGCGAGAAGACCGTGATCAGCGGAATTCCATCTTCGTCCACCTTCCCTCGTAGACGACTGTCAATAGGACGCAAACCAGGTCCATTTACCTGTCCAACCCCCATTATCGAAATGGCTGGTGTTAACCCTTTTTTCTCGAACATCCGACAAAACATGGAGATGAGCTCAGGAATAACCGAGACGATACCTGTTCGCATTCCAAAGGATGTCATCATTGATAGATCTATGTTGCCGAATTTCATATTGAAACTTGTTTATGAAGATGGCGGCGATAGGAAATTGGCCGAAGAATTTCATGTAAATTATCTTTCTCTCCTATGATAAAGATTCGTGATTTGTCTATACGTGTGTTCTCATAATTCTCCATTTCATCCTGCAGGAAATCGAACGCGATGAACAGAGGCGACTACAATCTCTGATGCTTCATAATTCAAATCAGCCAACCCCCGAAAGCCCTTTTAGTATATCGGCCGGTATGGAAAAAGGAACAAAGAATAGATACCACAATATTTGGCCGTACGATCATGCCCGTGTCAAAATTAGGGAATGCAGAGAGGGAGATTGCGATTATGTGAACGCCAGCTATGTTCAAGTGAATGGGTGCAGTAAACGATATATTGCGACACAAGGTCCTTTGCCGACCACTTACGAAGATTTTTGGAAGGTGGTCTGGGAACAAAATTCCCGCATTATTGTAATGTTAACTAAAGAGCAAGAAGCTGGCAGGGTGAGTTTTCCTTACTTTAAACTTGCCTTGTAAGAAAGTCCTGTTTTCTTACAGTTATTTTCTTTATCCGTCTCAATTAAGATTCAATGCCATCGATATTGGGCTGAATGCACTGTATCTCCGTGTCGATTTGGACCTTTGGAACTTGTCCTCATCTCCGAAAGTTCAGTGGCTAATGAGACGGATGGAATTACTGTTCGCAAATTCCGATTATCCCACAGAAATCATCCGGAATTGCCTGCTCGTGAGATCACTCAGCTACACTTTCTTGGATGGCCGGACTTCGGAATTCCGGATTCTCCACGTCACATTTTAAATCTTATTGAAGTTGCAAATTCCGCTCAACTTCATGCTTCGAAACAGTGCGATTCCTCTCAAGAGATTGGCCCAATGGTCGTCCATTGTTCGGCTGGCTGCGGTCGTACGGGTGCGTTTTGTACCATTGACACAGTCCTCTCCATGTTCAATGAGAGAAACTTTGATAACAACAGTAGGGATATTGTAAAAGAAACGGTTGCGCGTTTCCGTGAACAAAGGTTGAGTATGGTCAAAACACTAAGGCAGTATGTGTTTTGCTATGAAGCAGTTCTATGGAAATTAACAGGTGCTGCATAACTCCTCGCTCGGACGCTATGACTCAACCACATCGGTCAAAATTATGAAAAAAAAAACAAGAAGAAGATTTCTTTACGACGTCATTAAGGTTATTGTATAATATGTTTTCACTTAGTACTTATAGAATTCTCGTTATAATCTTTTATACAGGTGGTGTGTGTAGACTTCATACATACATTACTAGCTGTGTTAAACATTGCGCGGATAATTTGTTTCCTACAAGTTTTTCGTGCCAAAAATAAGAAAAGTTTATCTTTTCTTCCCCTTTATTTACCCTTTCTATGTAGTATATTTTTTTTTAAAAAAAAAATATGAACGAACGAAATAACCAAAAATTTAAACATCAAAACTTATTTACGACTTGAAAAAAAAGATTTTTTATACATCCCCTTATGTAATTTAGTTTTCGTTTCCCTATACATATTAATTAAGTCAAATAATACAAAAAATTATATCTCGTTTTTCGTTTTCGTTTCATAGTTTTTTCGTTTTTCGTTTCACTTTGTTTTCTTTATATATATGTATATTTTTTTCTATTATAACAAAAAAATATACTGTATATATAAACACAGCTAGCCTTTACCAAAAAAATTAAAAAAACATTTGTAAATAATAAATGAATAATAATAAATGTTTGTGAAAATCTTAATTCGGAAAATTAATTCTAAGATTTGAACCAAAAAAGAACGTAAAAAAAAAAAAAGTTACAGCACCCAGTATTCCCATGTTGTCCCCAACCATAGTACTGACTGGGCCATCAGTGGCTTAACTTCGGAGATCGGACGGGTTCCGGTGCCCTTCACTGTGTATGGCCGTAACTGAAAAGAAAGATACCAGTTTGATACAAAAGAATTTGGATTCTTAGCTTGTAATTCAATAATATCATATAATATACAGTGTGAGACAAATAATTGGAAATTCAAAATTTTATTTTTATTAATAATCTAATGATTATATTAATATTAAATTATTTCTTATAACAAAATATTTGTCAATAGGCTATTTATAAACTTGTATATAATTTTTGAATTTTTAATATTTAAACCAACATATTATTTATATAATTTAATTATCTACTAATTATTTTATTACAAAAAAATAAACTTATTAAACTAGTATTATATTATATTAATTATAAAAGATTTTTTCAAATTTTAATTTTCTAGATATAATTGTAAAAAAATAATATTATTACTTTTTTTAAAAATTAAAAATCAAATTTTAATCTTAAAATATCAAAGCTAACTTATGTAAAAGATTATTTATAAAAAGAAATTATCAATAAATTAATTATTAAAAAAATTTAAAAACCTATATAAAAATATAATAATTCTTAATATTTAATAATACTAAATTAATATTATAACTAAAAACTTATTTTTAAAATATAAGTATTTATTTATTTATTTATTTTATAAAATTTTTTTGAAAAGAACAATGATTATCATATTTTATTTTATTTATTATACTTTCACTTGCAAAACAAGATACAATATCAATAGTATAATATATATTTTTTTTTGCTAGAAAGAGTTTAACGCAAGGCTTTAAAATGGATCTAACCCTTGTGCTCTTTTGACACTATTTAAAAAATACAGAAAAAAGAAATTCAAAATTTATATTATTGTCTTGAATAGTATCTAGTTACCTAGAAGAAAATGAATACCTAATTATATAAAGGTATTGCAACCAATTTATATAGGTTGGCCTTCAAGTCATAATTAGGATTGGTATGCCTGCTTTTCAAATATGACTTGATATATAGCAAGCAGAGTAGTGTTAGAGATGATAAAAAGTGAATATCTTTTTACATAAAAGTATTGCAGCCACTTTATACAGATTTGTCTCCAAGTCACAAAAAGGATTTGATACATCTATGCTTCAAGTATGGTGAAAGTGTCTTATGGATGGAGTTCATAATAGTTTTCTTAATAGTGTCAGAATCTAACTTTGTATAATAGACCTATATTGTTTGAGAGGTAAGCGAAAAACTTCTGTTATCATCACTATCTTGTTTTCAGAAATAACTAAAATCCTTAGTTGTTATATATTATTTTACTAAGTTTTCCAATTACCAGCATAATATTTGCAACTAATCTAGCTTATTGCTAATTATATTAGCATTGGCTGCCATTTCATTTTGGATACTGTGAGATGCAACTTCTTGAATACTTTCGGATAATAATAGTTGTATAGAGATTTCTTGAATATATCTAGTTTAACTGCCGATTAGTAAACAATATCAAGTTTGATAATGATGACCATATTGATCTTTTGAAGGAAATAAGCCATTTATCCTTTTTCTGAAAGACCATGGAAAAGAAAAAATTTTCTGAAACCTATATCCTAAGAAATGTTATTACTTCTTAATACAATCCTTAAAAGAAGGAAGTCAACTGACCAAAGGAGTAATGTTATGGAGATAGAGTTTTTAAGAGAAAGAGAGACCTAGAGAGGAAAACCTTCAGAAAAAAGAAAAAACCTAGCTTCGGCAAGAATAAGAAGAAAAAAGAAGAAGGAAAAAGATATGAGATAAAAAAAAGGTATATAAAAGAGAAAGGAAAAAATAGGAAAAAGGAAATAAAAAGATATGAAAAGGAAGAAATAGAGAAAAGAAAAAAGTAAAAATAAAGAAAAAAGTAAACAACTTAAGAATTTCCTAAAAAGAAAATTTTCAAGTATAGAAGGGAGAATAGAAAAGAGTTTTTTTTAAATATAAGTATTTATATATTTGTAATTTATTAATATTTTTATAATTATTTATTTATATTATTTATTTAAATATTTGAATAAATATCTAAAAGTTTAAATAAAAATATTATAAAAATTTTTTATAATAAATAATTTTTTAAAGTTTTAAAAGAATTAAATTAAATTTTAATATTAATTAAAAAAGTATATAAGATTATTGAAATAAAAAATATAAATTTGGTTAATTGGTTTTTTCAACTTGTTTAGTTGATAATAAAAATTTAAATTTTATATAATAATTTTTTGTTAAAAATATATTTTAATTTTTAACAAATAATTATAATAATTTAATATCAAATTATATATTTTGATATATTTTTGTATTTACAGTATAATATTAAAATTATTATTTTTTATTTAAATATATTTATATATTAATAGATTAATATTTATATTAATTTTATTATTATAAAATATAAAAACAATTATAAAATTTTATTAAAATATAAAAAATAAAAACAATTTATATGCAAAATTAATTAATTAAATATAAAAATATCTATTATAATTTTCATATCAACATTTTAAAAAATTGACTTTTGCCAACAGTACTTTATTAGAACAAGACTTTTGTAAACAGTACAAAAATCATATTAATCAATCTAGGACATTCATTAGGAGATTTTTTTTATATAATAATAGATATTCTATATTAGTGCCCATCAAACTGTATTATAGAAATAAGAAGTAATAAGAAAATTCTTCATGAAGTCTTTGACTATCCAAGAAGAATGACAAAAATCAACTTTGTCTCAATATTACTGAAAATTAACAAACTAATATAAGACAAATTAATTTAATATAAATATACCAACTTCAAATTCAATCCAATATTTGATGACATTTTCTAATGGACCAATTTACTACTTCACTTTTTTGAAAGCCTGCTAATCAATAATCTATAACTAGGTAGCAGCATCAGATGACGTAAAAAAATCCTAAGATCACTAAAACCTATATAATCTGTAAAAGTTTTTCAGTTCTTAAAATATTCAAATATACTTACAAATCTTATGATTTCAAAATTATCAACAAATTAAATAAAAAAACAAAAAATTTTAAAGTCAACAAATATAGTGACCTCATCACCTTCAGAATCAAATTGCTTTCAGGAACTCTCTTTACAAGAAAAAATCTTCACAAATTATATCCAAAACAATATCCTAATTCATATTGTCCCTGGCATAATTTATGCACTGAGAATATTCAATATGTCTTCAAATGTCTATTAGTATTAGAAGATATTAGCCAACTTATCATCACCATTAACAATATTCTTCACCTTAATGATGATCACAAGCCAATTACACATGCTTGACAGTTAACAGAGCTAACATGTGGCATTACAAATAATATCTTTTTCATAATCAACTTTTTCAACTGGATTGAAGCTTTAACCAAGACCTTAGCTCATTTATACAAATCAATTTGGACATCTTGCTGTGTTATAGCAAACATCTCTCTCCTTACTAGCATTAAATGAAACAATAACCTTCATAGTAATACATCAAAATAAACTATTAAAAACTAGTCAAAACTAAATCATCTAGTAATAACTCCATATTAACATCAACTATTATAGATGTACTTACTATTGTAGCTGATTTATATATCCAAAGTGGATTTAATTACTAAATGCATTTTCAAATTAATCACAAATCTGTCTAACTTTCTTTCACCCAATGTTAAGTAGGTAATCATAGATGCTCGAAGCTGCTTGACAAGATAAATTGTTTTAAAATTTCTTTTCAATATTAGTCTAGTGGTTACTGTAAGCAAGCTGGCATTTAATTTGTTGTACTAATATATATAAGAGATGTTATTTCTTTCACAATATACAGTATATTTATTATTATACAAATAAATAAAGAAATGATGTTTACCTACAAAAATATATATCTATCTATCTATTATAATAAGATTTTTATAATATAATATATTGTTATTAAAAATTATAATAAATTAATTACTTCAATTTGACTTATATTATATAATACTTAAAATGTTTTTCTTTTTAAAAAAGATATATAAATTTGATTAGAATCTATAATACTAATATAAATTAGTCTATTATTTTGTACTTTAATTATGATTTCAAAAATTAAAATTAAATAGACTTATATAAACTTATATAATATTTAAAATAAAACATTATTAAAAATAATGATAAATTATAATGCATATATTAAATTTAATATAAATCTGAAAATCAAAAATCAAATTAAATAAAATTATTATAATTTTTAGCT